TCTCTCTCTCTCTCTCTCTCTCTCTCTCTCTCTCTCTCTCTCTCTCTCTCTCTCTCTCTCTCTCTCTCGATCAGTCATGCACCCATCGCAGGCACTGAACGGGAGGAACAGGAAGAGCGGTCATACTCCCTACCAAAACGCATCAGCAGCACCACCACCGTCAGCAGCAGCAGCACTCACATCCAGCTGCCGCTCCCCCGTCTACGGCAGGAAATGATCTTGACCTCAAAAGCAGCCCGGCCTATGGCTTTACACAGCAGCGGCTGAACACGGTAGCTCGCTCGCTCGCTCTTCACACAGCAGCGAAACTCGCGAGTCACGATAACGGCACGTCAAAGCAAAATCACCGCGTAGCTAGTAGCTACTGCAACACTTGTTCCACGAGCGGAGAGCCCTAACGGTAAAATGACTCTTAATACTATCCAAAACTTTCCAATGCAGCTCTTGTCTTCCAGATATTTTGTATTATAGTGTTTCCCCACTTCCTCATACGCGTAGATTACGCGCAGTAAAATCTGGAGACGTGCCAGAATCTATAAACACTGATACGGGTGGCTACGCGGTGCTGATATGATCATCCAGCGCCCCCGTGCGACGCGAGAGCTCTGAAGGCCATCAACGAATGCCCCAGATGCTGGCCGTTACTGTGGTACGTACATAATATGCACATACTAGTATATAAGCCGTCACGCACAGTCACCCTGCCACATACCACGACGTGCCATTTGTTTGTATGCTTGACCCTAGCTCCAAGAAACGGTCTTGCCAGGGTTATAAGACCCGTATACTTGTATAGTATACTAGTATACTCGTATACTAGTCCCCGAAGACTTGTATAGACAAGCAGTCGCACAGCCTCGTCGGGCTAGCTTGCCCGGAGAGTCGCGGGCAAGACGTCGTCCATTGTGTCTCTTGCTCTGCCTTCTGCATCTAGCCAACATCATCTACTAGGAACCATGCGCGGCTATCGATCACCTACGACCACCTCCTGTACTGACAAACTGTTTTCTCTAGAAGCTTCCAGCATCCTCTCTCACCTAGGTATTACAGAAGCCCTCGGATTTTCCGGATTGATTGATTGGTATATTGATTGGTGACAGTCACACTTATTGAATTTCCTCCCATAATCCTCGAGCAGCTAAAACAAATAATCGAGATTCGCCAGGAAGTTTTTAATGTAGTAAACATATATGATAGCAGTTATTCATAAAATAAATGCAAACATATTACTGATGCGACAATTTAGACAACTGGCCGGTTTCTTTTTCAAGCTGTATACTGTTCGATTACATTTCCAAGAACGCCTATTATAGGTTCAAGGTTTCTCTTGCGAACCTCTAACTTATCTGTGAAAAACAGTAATTTCACCAAGAAAATTTCTCGCGCCTACATAGACGTATTCCCCACCCTGAAATGCAGCAGTCATGTTATCAGGAGTGTATGATAATAGACCTATATATAATATCATAGTAGATAAGTAGATAATAGCGATATTTTGATAATATAGATCCTGATGTTATGTGGACGTCAGTTAAGGAGATAACTGAGACTTGACCCCAGACGCTGCAAAAGTACACCGCCTCATTGACTGAACTACTGAGTATGAGCGAGGTTACCTAGAGGTTATTTACTATACTGACCATGATGTTTCTCGCTATAGAATTGGCACCAACTCCGCAACGAAAACACAAGGATCGCAAGGGAGACAAGACTGAAAAATGTTTGCGAGATGGTTCCAGATTTGGTCGATCGTGACATCCCGGACCGCGGAACCACGTTGACTATATCATTATGGTCACTATGACCTGCCCGTTAGCTTGGAAGTACTGAGGAGAAGTGAAGCGAGCACCACATATAATAGAATCAGGAGTAATTACGCGATCATATATCAAGATATGATCAAGACCTAATAATACCTCTAATATTATTTATATTAGCTTTTGATATGATCCGATGCTGATAGAATCTAACCAAACGACGACACGTCGGGAGAAAACCCGCGAAACGTGACTTCGCGAGATGGTTCCGGATTGCATTGGATTGCCATCGATTCCCTTCAGAACACCGCGATTGCCAGCAGATGCCAACAACAACCATACTTACATCGCTAGGTTCGTCATGCACGTACGAGTGAGGGTTCACAGGCACACATTGCACCTTCATGGATGAGCGCTGAGAGAGAATGAGAGCGACCGAGAGAAATATGGGAAGAGGGAAAGATAGATGGGAGATAGCGACGGAAAGAGAGAGAGAGAGGAAGAGAGACGGACCGAAAGAGAGAGAGATGGAGAGAGGGAGAGAGGGAAAGAGAGAGCGAGAGAGAGAGAGGGCGCGAGAGCTCGACGATTTACATTATCACACGCCACTTGCGTAATCGCTTACTTTCACAAATGGTCGTTCTAGAAAAATGCGCGTGAAAAATTCTCAAGATGCTGCGCACTGATATGAGGCATAACGGTAAGTAGAGGAACAGCTCCAAGTTGTGATTGATCACAGCAATGCTCACCAAGCGCGTAGCCAGAAGGGGGGGTCCTGGAGGCCCTAGGACCTCCCAATAAAAATAAAAATAAAAAAATAAAAAATGTTATCCAAAAAAGGCTGTGCATATTGACGTTATATATAGTCACACAGCATGGTCGGGTTAGGTGTCGTTCTAGAGCTGCAGAAGAAATAGTATTGTCAACAAAACAGCGTCTAAATTGATTTTAAATCACTATTTTTACATTTAACTAAAAAAAAAATATTTCAGACCACCAGACCCCTTTGTTACTCGCTCGAGGACCCCCCAATCCAAATTCCTGGCTACGCCATTGATGCTCACGAAACCACGAAAGGCTTCGTTCTATCGTACTTCCTGATCGAGATAATAGACTGACTTCAGTTAGTCCCGTTAGTTGACCCTTGATGACCGACGGTCGGGGACAGCGGGGACGCGATGACAATACCGAACCCAAAAGTTCTGTCTCGCGCGAGTGGCTCCATTCAGAAGCACGGGCGCACAAACGCGTTAAACGATGACACTCAAACAAACGCAAAACATCTGAAACGCAGCGGGTCGCAGTGCTGTAAATAGCAGACGAGCTGTACGTACACCACAGCGCGCCACACTCGGGCGTAAACTGTCGCCTACAAAACCGACAGTGGAACGAGTACTACGACATAATCGGGAGAATCACAAACAATATATATGTTTTTATTCTCTCCTGAAATTATGAATGTGCGAACGAATTCGGTGCGCGAATATCACGCTTCTCACCACGGACGCCTCTGTCAAACAACAACACCTATAACACCTGCCTATTATCGCTGAAGGGGTCGTTGTCGTATCAGGTACTACAGATATGTACCCGAGGTACATATATGTATACACAAAGTGTACCAGACTTGTACCACAGAAGTGTACCCTAACCCTAGCCCTAACCCTAAACATACCTCATATAAAAATATAAACATAATACTAAACAACCTAAAACTACCCCGGGTACATATCTGTAGTACCTGATACGACAACGACCCCATCTGCCCTATTATCAATACCTATATACATACGACAAACATCATGATGCCGAGACGGAATGCGAACACTGCAAATGCTTGCCCATATCACAGACAAAACTAAATATCATCACCTCGTGAACAAATATGTACCGATCGAATTACCAGCGACGAAACCAATCTGGTCGAGTTTGAAAAGTCGAGTTTGAACTTTGAAGCAAGATCTTCTCGATCTTGCGAAGATCTAGAACACGCCGTCTTGCACAATACGTGGCTATCTCTATATATCTCTCTCTTGCTCGCTCGCTCTCTCTCTCTCTCTCTCTCTATATATATATATATATACATATATATAGCCTATAGCAGTGCTGTAAACATGGCTAAAATCAAGCCAATGTATTCAATTCATCAATCATCAATCAACTAATGATTGTAAGCACACGACTAATCATAAGATAATACTGCACTGTCCACGAAGAAAAAAGCGCTCTCACTCATTCTACGTAGCTCCCATCTCTCTCCCGCGCTCTCCTTTCATCTATCCCGTTCACTCGTTTTTAACTGTCCCTACTTTCCTTCCGCTCTCGCTTCAAACTCTCCCACCAACACTTTCAAGCCTCCCACTCGCTTAAAATCATTCCATTGCTTCTTCCCTCCTCCGTATCCTCCTCCTCTCTCGCCCTCTCTTCCGAGCTTACACCGTCACCAGTATCTCTCTCCATGTATAAACACCATGATAGCATAAACAAATACCGTCCGCATGGAGCACTGGACAGTAAACAGACCTGGCTCACTGCACTAAGGCTGCCGGAACCATCGACACCCGCACCCACACACACGGAATCACCACACCAGACTATATCCCGACAGTAGCAAGGCCGACTGGGTTTCTCAGCTGGAGTACTTGTCGCCTGTGATCGATACAATGGTCGCTTGGTGGCGCTACGGTACAGTGACTATATATAGCAGCAACACGACTCTAGTCACAGAAATGCACAGACTAACAAGTATGTGGTCCACTGTCGCTAGTGTTCGCAACATGATATGACGAGAGTTAAGACACGGCGAATAAATGTGTGCTGACACACATTCTTATGTACACTTAACACAAGAGCAATCTACAATTTTCTACACTAATAAGCCAATTCGGTTTAATTGCCTGTTCGTCAGCCAGTTCGAGAAGTCGACAAGTCTGGTACACGTTGTGTACACATATATGTACCTCGAGTACATATATGTAGTACCTGATATGAAAACGACCCCTTCAGCGATAGTCTGTGGTGAGTGAGCCACGTGGTGGTGTTTGCATGCACTTGTCCAGTCTAAAAATTGAATCAACAGGAAACGCAGAAGATTAACAGATCCTTGTTAGATTACAGTCCTGTTTGCGGAGCATGCCTGCACGTAAGGAGGATTGTGTTACCTGGTTGTGTCAGCTAGCACCCGAGGCAGGTTAATCAACCTATAGCTATCAAACGCAAACGAATTCACTGTGTTGGTTGCAATGTGTGCAGTATATATCCAAGTGCAAACATTTGTAAAACTATTAGCTATAAGATGTACGGTTTAAAATACAAGGTGCAAACAACAAGTATTTATCATGTGCCCAATACGCGACACGTACACGTACACGTACATACACGTATACGCGTACACGTAGGCCTACACGTATATATACACGTTTACGCGTACACGTATAGTCACTCTATACAGTATTCATTAAATGTTTAGGCGTTTGCGTGTAACAATAAGTACGATTCTTAAAGATGTATTAATTAACAATACGTAATCCAATGTATTGAGAGATATTATCAATAGGTGTGAATGTTAAATACCTCCCCCTAGACTATCAATCACCACGTAGACCCTCCTCTACATTTAGCGTGGCGTTTCCGCTATCTTGCAGTTACGTACACTCACATCAAAGTTGTGTATTTACTCACGAGCAAAGTATTAGCGAAGTATTTTCGAACTATTAGCGAACTATTAGCGAAGTATTTTCGCTAACGAAAAGCCTATTATAAACTACAAAATTCCAGTTGGTTTAAAATAAACCTACAAGAAACTAGATAAACATGTATTCTAACAGCTAACAGTGCTTGGATTGTATGCATCGGTGCGGATCGGGGTTCAATAACTTAGCCCCATAAAACACCAAGCGCATGTCTGTCTGTAGAATGCTAATCTTAACCTTGCTCTATTGAACGATTACATCTTTCGACTAAATTCATTCTAGCGTCTTCAAGAATTCATTAACGAAAGCCAGCTAATCTTATACTGTCAATACATTTCTCTCCATTAGGTCACATTAGAGCACAGCCTCGAGGCAAAATTTCGCAACCAACCTAGGGTAGCCGCTTGCAAGTTCACACCAGAGAAAACAAGTCTATTGTGAATGAAAGCAAACAAAAGCGCCGCTGCCCGGTCATACTGAAGTATCGCTCTTTCTACTTAAAAAATGCTCCGTGCCAATGCGAGCGCAACCTCTTTCTCGTATAGTCTCCTATCTATGGCACCGTTATGACAACACGTTATCAGAACGGATCCACTATTTACAAAGGTGCAAACCTTCGACCGCCTTTCGCCACAATATAGATCAAACATTATCTTTCGCGTGTATTTTTTTTCTACCCATCTGTATTCTTAATGCTTTGGAGACAGGGCTTTAATTGTCGCGCCCTCTACAATTCGGGCTTGCGGCGGCGAAGAGAGAGGTTCGCGTGTGATGGGTATCATCGCCTCGGCGCTACCACAACACGCGCACAATTAGACGTGAACTTGAGAGTGTATGTGTACATGCAAATCACACGCACCGACTACGGCGCGTTGTCTGCCGGTGGCCTCGCTCTTGCGCGCGCGCTCTCTCTCTCTCTCTCTCTCTGTGTCACCGACAAAGGAGTTTGTCTTTACTTTCACTCGGCTGAGCACTGGGGCGACACATACCATTACACTCTTCCATTGCTTCACTAGCATTTAATTGCTTAACAAGTTTTTATTTAGTTTTTTTATGTTTGCATAGTAAACTTTCTCAATTGGCCTCTCTTCGATTAAAAACGATTTTTCGTTAATTCGATATGAAATATAATTACATTATTTCATTATGACATAAAAATGTGTTTATATTTTGTAATTTCATGGCAGTTGAAAATTAGTACTGCACAATGACACACTAATATATGATGTGATGTGTACAGAAGCATTTTTTGGCTTCAGTTACATGTGGCACAGATACGTCGAAAACTGGTAGGCTATGTACTGACATTGGTGAGCTGAAGGCGAGACAGGAAGGTGTGAGGGATGTGGTCGAAGACTGTTTGAGATTGTTTGATGTCCAAATAGAAGATAGGGATTGAGGATTAAGGAGGAGGTATATATATAATACGTATATATATATTAAAAAAGGGAAACGGAGCAAGAATGAATAAGACAACATGTCTATACGAAAGACAGTCCTTCAATGGGATGAGAGTAGAACGAACGTCTAACTTCCGACGGTATTAATTTACATACAAATTAAGATAATTAATTCATCAAAACAGAAATACGTAACACTTAATTGAATTACTGTACAAATCTTTTTAATATATATGAATACATATATACATACAATCAGGAGTTAATAAAGACAAATTTTGTCTTTATGTTTGTCTTTATGTTTTGTCTTTATGTTTGTCTTTATTAACTCCTGATACAATACATGTGTGTACAGAGCAGGAATTTACATTAAAAAATTATTATAAAAATAAAAAATTTGAACATCTAATAATATTACATTTTAATTTAAAAAAAGACTAATGTAATTATATGCGGTAAGTATATATTTTATACAATGATAATTGAATTTACAATGGCAATGTTGTAGTTTAGAAGTTATCACACAAACTAAAATAGCTCACATGATAAAGATATTGTGTTGGATGAAGCTTCGAACGGTGGCTGCCTTATTGATGTCCTAATTGTGATGAAACTGTAAATATATAAGTTTGCAATGTAGTTAGTTTGACATTAGTACAATAAGAAAATTATATTACTATTTGAAAATTATTAAACTATCATAAATAATGTACTGTGAAAATGCGGGAGCGTTGAAACAAATTAATTTGGGATTCATTTTTTTATCCCGATCTACGTAATAAATTTACTGTAGTCTACTGATAGATCCAGATAACTACAGACAGATCTAGACGTTAATAGACAGTTAGATAGTAGTTGTATTAAAAATTAAAAATGCCGCATATAGCCCCCATTCTTAGATTAGCATTAATTAACCGCATAACACGCGTTTAAAAACTTAATTAACTTACATGCGCGAACGAGTCCTGTGACGAGTGTGCAGTGAGTCGAGTTGACCACTGAGATGAGGTAGCCCGAGGCCGATTTGAGCTGACCACAGTGGTCAGCTGGTAAGTCCACATAGCAACACAGCCATTCGGCTAAAAAGGCTAACTACCTGGCTTTACCCAAGCTAGGTCACACCTTATGGCTAGCTACTGGCTCCCTGCGTTATTATCCACGTAACCGTGGGCTACGCAGTAAACTATCCAGATCCAGCGGAGACCGACTGTAGATCGACCGACTGACCACACTTCTCAGTTGACACGAGTGACTTCCGATGACCAGAGCCGACTGTAGATCGCCAACCGCCTGCTTAGCCGCTGTCCATCTTGCTATTCGAGTCCTTTTCCACATGTGTGTCTCGCCCTAATTTTGCCATTTACCGTCCATGTTGCTGAGATGGTGGGTAGAAGAAAATACAGAGAGAGGTGGGGCTGACTGGGATGTAATCTCTACTTCTATATTAGAATAAAGAGGTGACAAAGAGGAACTAAATAATAGAGATGTGATGGAAAGAGTGAAGAAGGGAGGAATGCAAGGGACCGAGAGAGATGGGTATCAAGAAACAGACGGAGAAACAGCGAGGGAGGCCATGCAGAGGAACGTAACTTAACGTAATCCTTATGTCATGCTATAATGCATTGCTAATTTGCAAAACAATTTAGTAAAAACAAGATAGGGAATGAATGAGGGAGGAGGACTGGAGAGTGAGAGAGAAATTGGGAGCGAGATGTATATGTACGAAGGATATAGTATATGGGATATAGTATAATGTATATAGGATATGTACGAAGACGATAACACACACGGACAAATATCAACATTCTCTATATTTAAAATAAGCAGCACTTACGTGAACATGTAATTTAAGAGGAATACGTCGAGCATGCAGCCTACGTCGTCTAGCCATGTGTCTCCTAACACATGAACAGCATCCTCATGCGACCAAGGGACATCAGCTGGATGGTCAACACGAACATTAGTCCGTTGAAGAACAATAACAGAATCATGTCGAAAACTATCGCCGAATGCGTACGTATACAATCACACAGCAGCGCTGCGGTTTACGATCAGAGCGACTTCGCCAGGCACCTCGCAAGTCTAAATGACGTCTTGCAGCAGCTCCCCAGCGCGCCTTTATATACGCGACCACTCACACTCAAGGATCTTACTCTGCAGCTATCGGAGAGCGGCCCCGTCTCCAGGAATATTGCTAACGAAGCTTTGCGCAGTCGAGCATGCGAAATACCCACAAATCGCGACCTCGCTGGGTCAACCCTCGCGCGCCGCAGCTTGAGCAGCAAGCACGCACCCCCCCCCCCGCCGCTATTGTTCCACGGAGTGGACACGACGTAACGCTGCGTGGACTGATGATGAGACGCGCGAGTCGTCAGTCACCGAGGTCTCGCTCGCTCATATCGCTTTCACACAAAGGCGGGAACGGGTTCCTACTGACCAGCTAGCATTCAGTGGCGGGGAGGGGGCGGTGTCCGAAAGTGTAAACGAAGCGAAGGAGTTCAGGGCTAGTGTGATAGAGTTAGCGACAGGAAATGCAGGTGTCTGACAGGTTATTAGTGCGAC